GACAGACACAGTGGAACTTTACTGAGCCGGGTGGGGGAACCTTCCTGGAGAATAGAGCAGCTATCTCCAGAGACATTTAACTTGAGGACAGCCCCATTCTGAGTCTAAGAGTACCCCAGGATGCCAACCAGCTATTTTCCCAGCCTTGCTGTAGCCCAAAGCAGACACTTGGGAATGTGGTTCTTCCTGCTCCTGAGGCAAACAGGGCTGCTTTTAAATGAAAGGGAGCATAAGCCCCACTATGAGCAGGCAGGGTGGGCCTCTCCTTTTATCTCTGATGACACCACCATCAGAGACACTGCAGGCTATAGGAAGGTCCAAGCCCTTGAGCATTGACCCTTGAGCCTTGGAATGGAAGGAGCTGTCTTTGGGCCCTAACAGTTTCCACTCCACTCAGGGACCTCTAGGTCCCAGTGGAAGTGTATTTAGGCCCTTAGGAAGAGGACCTTTGTATTCTGACAAAGGATCGGGATGCTTAGGACCCTAAGGAGATGGTTCCAACAATAATATAACTTTTCAGCAAGATGAAACAGTTGAAGTTTTTGAGTATATCTAGGGACACACATTTGCTATGTTCATAGTTTCTTTTTTTTTCAGAGTAGAGATTAGAAATTTATTAAAGGACAGAAGAAAAGACTTCTCCCGGAGGAAGAAGGGGACCCAGAAGGTGGAATCCCTGTTCATAGTTTCTTTAGTTCCTTTTATTCCCAGAGCACTTGCCCCTTGATCATCCCCAGTGTTCCACACTGACTCTCAGAGCGGCCTTTTATGCAGTTAAGGAAATTGAAGATGATAGAGAAAAATATAGAGTTGCCCAAAGTCCCACAGAGAGGGATTCATCTATAATCAGATCCAGCCCCTTCCTGCCTCCTGAGACCTGACCCTTTCTGTAGCCCCAGATTCCCCTAACTCCTGCGGAGCCAGAGACTTGAGGTCAAAGAACCAAGCCCTACTCCCCATTAGAGCTCTTTCTGAAAAAGACCTGTCCAGGGAGGTGGGATGAACTGGATAGAGGCTTTAATCCTGGCCCTGCCTCCTTCCCTGACTGCCTATAAGTTTGAGTCCATGAACCTGAAAGTGCTTCATAAACTAAAAAGATGTTGAACCAGCACAGATAGGGAAACTACCACTCTGTTGTGCACAAAGACATGGGTGATTTGGAGCCAGGCCTTCAAAGGGCTCACAGTCTTGGGGAGGTGGACACAGACCTACAACCTCAACATGGCACGAATAATGCAACAGCCAAGGAGCGCTGGGCATTGTGAGGATAAGAAAATTCCCCAGGCAGTCAGGGAAGGCCCTGTGAAGAGTGCATGTTGGAGATAGGCCCTGAGGGAGTGCAAGAGCCCAGGGAGAAAGAGAAGAGGTGCATTTCAAAGAAGGGAAGAGCTTATGCAAAGCCAAGGGGACTGGAAAGGGAATGGTGTCCAGCCATAGCATCCAGGGAATGAGTCTCAGAGAGATTGGTTAGGGCAGGGCAGAGAAGAGCCTTGAAATGCTTACAAAGAAGACTGGGAATCCATTTCGGCAAATAGTGCAAATACTAACGCAAGAAAATGGCACTTGAACTAGGAATTGTTATTTCCATTTTTTACAGGTTTCAAAATAGAGGCTGAGTGAGCAGGCAAATTGCCCAAGGTCTCTATATTAGTCAGGGAAACAGAACCAACAGGATCTATGTATAATCATATGATTACAGTGGGCTAGCAAGTCCCAAGATCTGCAGGGTGAGTCAGCAAACTGGAGACTCCAGAGAGCCAATATTTTAATTCCAGTCCGAGTCTGAAGTTATCTGGGCACCCCACTGCATAAAATTGACACATTGAATTGTATAATGGCTAAAATTAACCCTCACAGCCTCTTAACTACCAAGTGGCAGAGCTGGGGTTTGAACCCAGGTCTGTCTGATTCAAAAGCCCTTTGCTACTGCAGCACTGGGCAGAGAGCCAGGGCTCTCCTTTTCCAGCCTGGACTCCAGGGCTGAGCCAGCTGGAGAGAAGCAGCCAGTCACCAGCCAGGTTGGGCTATGTGCCAGGCAGATGACCCAGCAGGGCTGGGACAGGGAGCTAACCAGCAGCCTCTCGTTTTAGGAGACTCCACAAAAAGCTTTACACTCTGGGGAGGAGAGGTGAGGACAAGGGGGTGGGGCTTCAAAGGAAGTGCCTTGGCAGGAGCAGGACCTCCTCCTCAGCCAGGCATCCAGACCTCTGTAATCCCATCTCCTTCTCCACCAGCTTCCCTGCCTGGGGAGCCACTGCTTTCAAGATGGTCAGAACTGGAAAATCCCCCAACCTTCCTTCTTCAATTTCACACCATTGGGCAGGAGGCAAAACCAGGCCAGATGCCAGAGAGGGAGAGGGCCTCCCTGTGGTCATTCAGCTGCTCTAGTTCTCCAGCTATGTTCTCCAGCTAGGCCCTACTTTAAAGACCTACAGGTTCTACTGTGCAGGGACTTACCACATAAAGGGAGTGAAGAGGTAAGTGAGGGTCGTAGTTAGGTTACCTTGTCCCTGCCAGCCTGGGCTCCTGAGGAAAAAGACTGACCCACCTGTGTGCCTCCAGTGTCAGCATAGGGAGGAGGTAGGTGGCCATTCAACAGTGTTCCCGAGTGTTCCTTAAGGCCTAGGGTATACACATGAGGGACACAAAGGATGGGTTCTCAGAGAGACTCTTCATGGCTTGAGGTTTGTATAAATGTGGGTGGAGAGAAAAGGAACAGAGGAAGATATCCTCCAGGTTCCAAGAATCAGCCCCTAAATCCGCTTGGGTATTATCTAATTTGGAGAACAGTGGAAAAGCAGATCTGAGGGGGAAGATGACAAGTATAGGAACCTTGAACTCATGAGTCAAGTTCTGGAAGTGGAAAAGTACAAGACTGTTTGAGGAAGGTTTTTGGCACGTCTTAGGAGGAATAAGGTAAGTGGTAGAGGGTTTTGAACAAAAGCTGAAGTTGGTCCTTGATCTTTGGGGGCATTGTAAACCCCCCAAAAGGGCTAAGAATGTTTATACATGGTTCCTCAGGGACAATTCCAAAGTTTAATTCCAGCGGGCACTATAGGTGCAGTGAACCCCAGATTCCTCAGGGAGTGAGGTGATGAGCTTGGGTTGTGTCCACATTAGTGTCCGCTTTGTTTCCTGTTCAGAAAATGTCTATCACCCGTTTGAGCTCAGAACCCTGAGAGTGGGGAGGAGTAGAAAATTCTTCCGACAAATGGAGAAACTATAACAGAGAGTCACAGCTGGAAAGCACGTCACAGGGCACAAGACCATTGACCCTCTCCCCCCCACCCCAGTTTTACAGAAAAGGAAGAAGGGCCCAAAGGAGAATATCCCCATTTTGCCGATGAGGAAGTGGAAACACAGAAGGATGGGTCTTCTCTATGCCACTCGGTAAGCAATGACCAAGCCCTCCAGCTGCCCTAGGTGTTTTTTTTCATCTCTCCACAGGACAGGGCCTCTCTACTGTCCAACAGCCCAGAGTTTACAAAATAACTTGGCATGGGCATAGTATCTTGGACTCAAGATCATGCCACTGCACAGCTAAATGCAACTTCACTGTCACCCCTCCCCAAAGAGGAGAAAGGACCTCCCATGTCACCCAACATATCAGGAACTAACTCCAAAGGCTATTTCTCTGGCCCTGAGTTTGGAGTACCAGGATAGAAGCCCTGCTGGTGGGACTAGACTCTGAATGAGTAAATTCTCGGGAAGAGGGAGGTTCTGAGGCCAGAGATGGCAAGTGGCTGGTCTGAGGCTCCACAAGCTCTATCTCAGCTCCCTACTAGGAACTTCCTGGTGATAATGGGGCAGGGCTCAGTGTCTGACCCACATCCCACTGTGAGAACAGGCCAGGAGCAGGGGCTTTCCAACCAGATCTCCGGGAAGTTGCTCCATCATGCTGTCTCAACCACAACCATTTCCTTCTCTAAAAACTCCTCCCTGAGGGCCTGAGTCCAGCCAGGCTCTCAGCAGAGAATACCCAGGCTGGCTTGCTAGTTGAGACCATGCCAGGCTCAGGAATGTCCAAAGGGCCTCCCATCTGACTACAAGCTGAGGGGGTATGTGGTGGGGGGGGAGGGGTTGGCACTAGGAAAGGCTGAGCCTAAAGCTATTCCTCTCTGAGAGTAAGTAAAGTGCTCCCAACCCCTGCAAAGCAGTCCAGGCACAGCAGCTCCCTTAATCCTCACAGCTATTCCTGGGGGTGGAAATAGTTGTTATCCATGGCCATTTTACAGGTAAGGACACTGAAAGGGGGCTGAGCTCAGAAGAACCTCACTCTTCTGACTGAGCTCTCTGCTCCTCCTACGGAACTACTTATATAGGTGGACTAAAAAAAGAAAAAGTATTATCAGGTTTTTGTTTTTGCTTTGCCTTCAGAGTTTTTCTTTTTTCTTTTCTTTCTTTCTTTTTTTTTTTTTTTTTTGTGTGTGTGTGTTTGTGGGTTTTTTGAAGGTTGCCTGGAAGAGAGTATAAGACGATTAATCGCAGTGGGGCCTGGTGATGCACACCTGTAATCCCAGCAAGGAGGCTAAGGAAGGTCTGCAAGGTAGCAAGACCCTGTCTCAAAATAAAAAATAAAAATAACTGGGGATGTAGCTTAGTGGTTAAACGCCTCCTGGGTTCAATCCCCCATACCACCCTCTCCCCAAAAAAGTTCTAAAAGTGCCAAAGTCGGAAGAGCTCTCCCGCATGGGGAAACTGAGGCCAGGGAGCAGATGTATCTTAGGTACATTAACTCTTTGGCTGGGGTCAGACCCAGTAACAAGAAGCACCTGCCAGAACTGGACCTTGACTTTCAGTCACCCGGGCTGCTGTCTCCCGTCCCTGAGGCCTCAGTTTCTTTGTGTGGCTGCAGACTGAGCTTGAGCAGCCGCGGTCAGAAACTGGTTGGCTGAGCCTGTGCACGGATCCTGTCCCCAGCGAGGGCTCTTCTACAGGGCTGCAAGCCTCGCTGTCTCTCCGACCCGGCCCTGCTCCTTCCACACCCTTCGCCTACTCACCTTGAAGGGCTCCGCCTCCCGACGCGCCGCGGTGAGGGGCGGGGCCTCTCCCCAGGGCGCCGCCAGAACTCCGCCCACCACCTGGTACAGCCGGAAGGGGGGCATTCTCTCCCGGTCTAGGAAAATGAGGATTGGTCTAGCTGGTGACACCTGGTGATACTCACTCACTCATCCATTCACGTAATCTCCCTGAAATTCATTCATTCCTTCAATGAATTCTTATCCAATCCTTTCTCCATAATTCTAGACACCCACACTAGGTCACGCTCTCTGTTGGACCAGTGAAGGTTGGTATAGCAGCTTTGTCTGGCACTATAACACAAAGACAGATGCAGGACAAGCCGCAGGACAGAGGGAGCGAGTAGTGTGGGAGGAGCCAAGCAGGGGAGGCTACGAAGGAGTGGCATCTGACCCGGATCGGGAAGAGTAGCAGTTAGCCAGGTGAGGAGTTCCTAACAGTAACAACCCCAAAATAAGCTCCTTGCAGGCATTCGCTGTATGCCAGCTTTATTTCCATTAATTTTCATCTTTGCCACAATTTTAAGAAATAAGTATCGTCACTCTCATTTTACAGATGAAGAAACTGAGTCTCCAAGAGGAAATTAATTGTCCAACGTGATCTAACAATTAGTAAGGAAGCCAGAATTTGAACCAGTTCTGTCTTCAAATCCAGGGCTGAGTTTAGACCTAGATTTAAGTTTTAAAAAACACAATGTTAGCTATAAAGACCCAGAGCTATACCCAAACACTAGCAATTGTAGTCTCTTGGGAATGGAATTTCATTGTATATTGATGTATGTTTGAATTATAAGATAAGAGAGATCTATTTATGTTAGTATTCACAATTTTCCCTCTGGTATTTTCATCTTCTTTTTTCCAATTCTTTTTCTTCTGCCTGAAATGGAAATTGCACAAGTGTGGTTTTTCCCCCCCCTTTAGTACAATGCAATATCCTTTTTTGAAAATCAACTTTAGAATGAAAATTACCAGTGAGTTTTTTTTCTTTGCATTTTCCCAACTTACTGTATCAAGCATGTATTAGGTTTATAATTCAAAAGTAGTGTTATTTTTAAAGAAATGAACTGCACACTTCAAGGACTGGTGTGTCCTCATCAATCAGAGCGTGGGCAGTTCCTGAGAAAAAGGCTGGGGGATTTTGGTTGACCTCAGACTAGAGTGACTCAGCAGGGTGAAAAGGCTGCCAAAACACCAGGCAAACAGAATCACAGTCCAAATTAGAGAAGGAACCCTCCTTTGTGCCTCAGGGCTACTCAGCCCTATTTGAGGTTCAGCAAATAGAGAAGCTGCCTTGAAACTGGAGAGAGACCTCAGCACAGTTGAGGAACCTCAGAGAAGAGAGAAAGGTCTGCACAGTGTATGCAGTTGGCATGCAGGTGTGGGCAGGGCTTGACCAGGGGCTTAACCTGCCCAGATGAATAGTGAGCTCTCTGGTACTAGAAATGTGCAGGGAGAGGCTGGAAGATGACCTCATTAAAGGGCAGTTGTGTGGGTGATGGATTACATCATCAGGCCACCCTAAGTGTACAATGTTTGTAGGATATAAAGACAGAAAGATACCCAACGCAACATCACAGGGCATGTGCTGAAACCATTATACTAAACAACAGGGTTAGCAATGAGAGGCATTTGTAGAGTTTTTATTGTGTGGCAGCCTCTTTAATCTTATCCCATGACACATAAATCAATGGTTTTCAAACCTGAGCTACAGCAGAATTCTCTGGAAGATGTGTTGTAACAGATGGCTAAGCTTCATTCCCAGAGTCTCTGATTCAGTAAGTCAGGGGTGGAGCTAATTCATAGGTGACATTAATGTTGTTGATCTGGAGACCACAATTGAGAACCACAGTATACATTATCTTACTTATTTGTTACAATCACCTTATGATAGAGATTCTGTTATCATCCTGTTTCACAGATTAACAAACAAAACTATCACCTGAAACTTCAAAGAGGTAAAATGACTGTTTACAGCACAAAGCACCAGAGTGAAGGTTTGAATGCAGGCCTTTCTTTACTCTAAAGTTTAAGCTTAACCAAAACAATCAATTCTTTTTCTCACTTCAATTAAATGATGAATAAAATCAAGATTCTAGTTGTTTGGTAGCAATAAACCTTGCAAATTGTTTTTTCAAGAAATAAACTAAGGACAAAAAATATTTCAGTGGCTCAGGCTGTCATCCCAGCTACTCAGAAGGTTGAAGCAAGAGGATTCAAATCCCAGGACAACCTAGGCAACTTAGCCAAGACCTGGGTAATTTCTCTCTCAAAATAAAATAACATGGGCTGAGGAGGAGCCCTTACCTAGCATGCATGAGATCCTGGGTTCAATCCCCAGGGCCTCAAAGGAAAAAATGAAAGAACAAAAATTTTAATCCCTGGAAGAGGCTAGAGAGGTTAGAGAGTCACCAGTGTTGCAGGAAGGGCAGAGAGATAGCAATACCTTGGAGATGTCAGCTGACCCCCATGTTGAGAAGCGCTCTGGTTATATGGTACTATGTCCACGATTTCACCACTCTTACAGTTCCAAAGTCCTCAGGTTGTAGGCTCTCTGCTAGGGCAGTAGTTTTTCCCTTTGTTATGATGCAATTCATCAAACATGTACTGAGCACCTTGCTCTATGGAACATGGTGTGATATGCTGCAGGAAGCTGATCAATGGCCACGCCAAGATAGCAAGTCCTAGCCGGGAGCCATGAGGCACACCTATAATCCCAGCTACTCTGGAGGCAGGGGCAGGAGGATCACAAGTGAGTTGGAGACCAGCTTGGGTAACTTAGCGAGATCCTGTCTCTAATAAAATTTTAAAAGTGCTGGGCATGTGGCTCAGGTAGAGCACTTGCCTAACATGCACAAGGCTATATGGGTTCAACCCCCAGTGGTCCCCCTCCCCCACAATAGACATCAGGTCCTAATTCTCAAAGCCTGTGAGAGTCACTTTAGATGGCAAAAGGGATTTCACAGATATGATTAAATCAAAGATCTTAAAATATGATAATCTGGATTATTATCCAAGTGAACCTGATGTCATCACAAGGGTTCTTACAGAAGAGTTAAAGATGTCGGGCTGCTATCTCTGAAGATGGAAGAGGGGACCATGAGCCAAGGAGTGCAGTTCTAGAAGCTGGAAAGGTCCAACAACAGGGTTCTCCCCTAGAGCCTCCAAAATAAATGACCCTGCCACACCTTGGTTTTAGCCCCTAAAAGGCCCATTTCAGATTTCTGAACTCCAGAACTATAATAAACTGTCTCGTTTTTCACACAGTGTGTGGGCAAATAAATACACACACGTCCCCGTTCCTCTTCATGCTGTTTCTCACCTTGCACATGCAGGGAAGCAGGTGCACAGAGGTGAGTATGTGCCTGTGGTCTTGAGGAGTGAGCACCTGTAGCCACCCATGTACCACTTCTGATGTTATTTTCACAAGTAGGCACATGTGATTCATTCCTTCAATAAATATGTGCTGAATATCCGCTCTGTGCCTGGCATAGTGCTGGCTGTGAGAACAGAGAGATGAGCCTAACAGATTCTTGTGGCATTTCTATTCTGGCAAGGGGGCAGGGGTAGGAAGGTGTACAGAAATCCAGTGAACCCAGGGCTGGGGATGTGGCTCAGTAGTAGAATGCTTGCCTAGCATGTACCTGGCCCTGGGTTCTATCCCCAGCACCACAAAAAGCAAAACAAAATAATCATAATCATAATCACAGTGAACCCCTCTCTGAATAAGACTGAGTTTTAGAGGCAACAGTTAGGTAAAAAGAGCATTATCATTTAAAAACCTTAAATTAGATATACAGAAACTAAGGGTGTAGTTCAGTAGTAAAGCACATGTTTAGCATGCACAAAGCCCTAAATTTAATCCCTATCACCAAAAAGAAAAAGAAAGAAAATAGACTATGTATACTGCACAAGAATTCTTTTTTTTTTTTTTGTACTGGGGATTAAACCCAGAGGTGCTTTTTCCACTGAGCCACTCCCCATCCCTTTTATTTTGAGAGAGGTTCTCTCTAAATTACTTGTTAAGTTGCTGAGGCTGGCCTCCAACTTGTGATCCTCCTGCCCATCAGCTTCCCAAATCACCAGGATTACAGGTGTGCACCACCATACCCAGAACAACAACTCTTTTGTATGTTCATGTTTGAGAAGCAGTGATCTGGGCAGAAAGAACTAACTCCAGATAAGGCTATCTCTAGATACCTGGACACTGCAACCACTCTGCCTTTAAGAAAGCAATCCCATCTCTAGGGACAAATTGAGATTGGGCAGAGAATGGGAGTGTTCCTGGAGTCTGTAGGTCTGACTCTAATCTAGTTTTATATTCAGCATTCATCATCTTAGTGTGTGTTAAAAGATTAGTTCGGTTTTATGAGGATAATACCAAATTCTGAAGTGGCATCTTTGGAGGTCAGTGGGTGGAGGATAAATTTTAAAGCTTGTATTAGTTCAACATCACCTCCAATGTGAGTCCATAAAGCAAACTGGGCCGGTGTGTTGTCCATAGAGCAAACTGGGCCAGAGCTGGTGGGGGAACTTGGAACCTCAGAAGAGAGCTTCCCCAGAGAAAGTGACATTGAACTTCAATGAGGGGCTGGGGATGTGGCTCAAGCGGTAGCGCGCTGGCCTGACATGCGTGCGGCCCGGGTTCGATCC